AAACAGAATAAAAAGAAGAGAAAAGCCCCTTCATAACTTATTTTCTTTGCGGAAAAAAACCCCCCTGTAAAACAGCTTCTTTTGCATTTTTCTATTCAAAAATGTCTTCTAATAAAAGTTTGAAGTCTTCGAATATATTTGCCCCTCGAGCAAACTTTTTTTCATTTAATATTGTGTCTGTTAATTAGTGTTTCAAATTTGCAAATTCTTTATTGGTTTATATCAATGTAATACCCAAAGCTCATCTCATTGCCAGATTTGAATGAAATATGATCCTGTTTATTCTATTAAAATGAAGGCTGGAAACTGTTACCCAAATGCCACAGGAATTCTTGCCATTTTCTCATCAAATTCCTCATCAGATTCCACCCCCCTTTTTTTGTTAAAGTCACATTGTTTTAGATTTTTGCGCCTTGGCATTTAAATGAAATTCAATGGGCCCCACTGGAGAAAAACATCTGCAGGGACATATTGTACATAATCTCCATTCCAATCAAGCAGGAGTGTACTAGTGTAATGGAAAAGATGCTTGTTCTTACTCCACTTAGATTTACTGTGATGTGGCTATTGAGTCAATCTGTGTGAAAGAACATCTAGCAAATTAAAGTTAGAAGAACGGGGGGGAGGGCAAAAAAGTATTTCCCACCCCTAAGTAATCAGCTTCTTACTTCGTAAATAGTATTAATCTAAGACTATGACTTTGAAGCAATATGAAATTGAGGAATGTGTCTCGAGTAACCTAAAGGGACTTCACTGGGACTTACTTTAGAGTAAACTTCTAGAGAATTGCACCTTAAATCATTGATGCTGGAGTAGACTCATGGAAATGCACGACACTCTTTTGGAGCAAGGCTTGAAGCACATGTTTAGAAATATTACATGGCACAGTCATCCTGGGAAAGTGCTACTTGATATTGCATCTGGAGGGCTGTATTTTAACATTCTCCCCTACATTAAAAAAAGTCTCTGTACGTAGAAAAGTTAGGAAATCAGTCTAATCTAGGTAGGATCCCAGTTGAATTTATTATAATCAGGAAAGTATTCAAAAATGATATTTCCTCCCCCTGCAGGAGAGCTGGACCATGTGATTTTCTCCACCCGTGAGTATACTTATTAGTTCTCATTGGGTGACAAAATTCAGCTTTAAGAGTTCAATCCACAAGCCACTTAACTTGGCTATTGGCACTAAGCCCTGTCCTATAAACTCTGGCAATGAAGCAGGAAAGAAGCACACAGGAAGTAATTAGTGGGGAGCCAGGATCAGGCTCCTATTGAGATAGACAGCAAGGAAAGAGATCCTATGGCCATCCAAAAGTTGCTGGATTCCAACTCACATCAGCCCCAACCAACACGGCCAATGATTAGGAAAGATGGCCTACAGTTTCCCCACCCCTGATTTACAGAATAATCTTAGAATCCATGGAGCTAGAACTCTGCTGTCTCTGCCTCAGAGGAGGTAAGTTTGAGTCAGGTGCTCCTGGCTGGAAGAAGAAGACTGCTCTGGTAGAGTGCCCTGTCTTTAACGCCAAGGGATTAGATTAGCATAAGTGCAGCAGCTGATCCCCAGCTGTTGAAGCAGCACCAGGAAAAATATGAAGCTCCTCGATCAACCAAGGCTCAAAAGTGCATTGATCACAATCAACACATGGAACTGCGGCTCCAATCAGATAATCTAGTGGGGAACAGGTGCTACGTGGCCTTCACAGCTGCTTTCACTAACCAGAAACAGTTGCATTATGTATGCTGTGTGCAATGCACATCAAAGGTAATCCTATATAGCAGCACCTTATTAGAGTAATGGGCCTTGTTCTCTTCCACTAGCAGCTTTGGGGAGAGAAGTTCATGGAAACCTTATCCCAGGTTCGTCTCCTGGTCCATCTATTCCAGTATCGTGTGACAACAACAGGCAGCCACAGATGTTGCCGAAGAAGATACAAGGACCTAAAGATAATCTACCTCCATGTGAAGACCTCATCCTCTAACCACTAGCAGGAGAGGGACAATTTAGAACAGAAGCAGGATATTCAGACTTTGCTCGATATATTTTTACTGGTGAGGAAGTTGCAAAGCCCACATAAAATTACTGAGTGGAGGCCCAGCTTCTGATGCCCTGTGATCATACTCACAATGCCATCCTAAATATGTATACCGTAGAGGCCCCTTTGAGAGCTGGAGTTGTGTAATAGTCAACAAACACGGGAGGGGAACCTTAGGGCTAGTAGTCAAATCCAGCTCTCCAGGTTCTCAGAACTCACTGCAGGTTATACTAGCAGAATTAAAGGGGGAAATCCTTGTGAAAGTTTGTCAGAATTGTGTAATGTTCTCCACATAAACACATTTGTCCATGCAGTTTTGACAAATATAGTACACACATTTCTGGAAGCAAGTTTCCCTTATCGAATGAATTTTTGTATGCTGTTTTTACTGCTTTATGCATATATATGCACAATCAACTACAATATATACATTTTTGTACACATTTCTTGACTGGCAAACTGCAATGCAAAATTCAGAAATGTGTGATTTTCAAAGGACTGTGATGTTTGGGTCTGCATATTGTTTCAAAGTGCAAATTTCTCACCAACCCACCCAACACTGGCATTTCCCCTCCCCCTCAGTAAGAACATTGGGCTAGGACTGGAGAGATGGTGGTCCAGATTCTCACTCAGCCCACTAGGTGAGGCTGGGGCAGCTACTCTCAGCCTAATCAATCTCATGAGGTGGTTGTGAGGATAAACTTGTAGAAAGGGAACTATGAGTACCCCCTTCAGATCCTTGGAGACAAGGGTTTGGGTATGCCTCTGTACCAGAGCCTCGTGTTTGCAGAGTTAAGCAGAGCTCTATTAAGTAGAAAAGGGACACGGGTGGTGCTGTGGGTTAAACCACAGAGCCTAGGACTTGCCGATCAAAAGGTCGGCAGTTCGAATCCCCGTGATGGGGTGAGCTCCCGTTGCTCGGTCCCTGCTTCTGCCAACCTAGCAGTTCGAAAGCACGTCAAAATGCAAGTAGATAAATAGGTACCACTCCGGCAGAAAGGTAAACAGCGTTTCCTTGTGCTGCTCTGGTTCGCCAGAAGCAGCTTAGTCATGCTGGCCACATGACCCGGAAGCTGTACGCCGGCTCCCTCGGCCAATAAAGCGAGATGAGCGCCGCAACCCCAGAGTCAGTCATGACTGGACCTAATGGTCAGGGGTCCCTTTACCTTTACCTGTGAAGTAGGGTGTCTTCCCCAGGACCAAACATCCTTGACCCTTGATCACCAGGTTAGGCCATGTTGCTGGTGCCACCACTGGGGGCTGCCCAGTTGGCACTGACCTGTGTCAGGACCTAGTTAGTGGTGCGCCCCTGGTTGTGGAATGCCCTCTCTAGTCAGATGTGCCTGTTTCCATCTCTAATACTTTCAGGAGGACTTTGAAAACGTCCCTGTTACCCAGGCATTTGGTGGCTGGATAACACTGTTCCTTTTAGAATATTTTAAACCATAACTGCTTTTAGATGCTTTTACAAATAATTGTTTTTAGAAGCTGCTTTTGCTTTCTTTTCGTTTTTTAATTGTAGATTCGTTTGCCATCCTGGGCGCCTTAGAGAGAAAGGGTGGATCATAAACCCAATAAATAAATTTGAACCAGATCAGCTCAAAATTCCCTAACCTAGGGTGAGAATCATATTATTGCACAGCATACCCAGGGCTGCCAGTGTCTTCAATGGGCAACATGCCTCCCGAAGGAATCAGTTCTATAGGGGCTCACCCTCAATATTTGCATCTCGGAGGATGAACAGCTGAGACTGCATAGAATGCATTCTGTAAATTACTGATTGAAGCTGAATTTCTGGTATCTTCTTAGAAGCAGTTGCACCAGATTAAGAAGGGGGAGAAAAAAATCCTACTCCATTGTCTCTCACCAGATCAAACAACTGCTGAAACTATGGCAGCCAATGAACACAGATCAATGGTATCTGCAGCCACCACGTTTGTGTAGGTTTAATCCATTTATGTGGAAATCAAGTTACAGCTTGTCTGGATGGATATTTTTTATTTTTCTTTACTGGAAACAATTGATAACATTACTTCAGAAGAAATTAATCCAGGGAATTAATTAACAAAATCTAATATCCAATAAAGGTAGCTCGGAGAAAGATTTCATGGGTGGTCAATTGTGACATTAAATGGATGGGAGGAGAAGAAAACTCTGAGAGGCTCTTTCCATACAGAAGCTGTGGAGATATAAAAGGAAAGGGCCCCAATAACACTGTGAGTAAATAAAAAATGAAGGAGGCTGTCTGTGCTCGTATTATTCTCCTTGATCATTTAAGGCGGCCATGTGGAAAACAGGCCAGGGCTTTTGCACTGCCAGATTTTGAACAGAGGATAAGCTACACCTTATAAAGGTGCAAGGGCACTCTACTGTTTTGCATCTGGCCATTTTCCAACAATTGCACCTTTAAAGATTGTATTTTCTAGGCTGGGAGACTGGGACTGACATCTTATGCCCACTTACCTGGGGAGTAAGATCCACTGAGCTCAATTGGACTAGATATGGATAGGATTGGACTGTAAGATATGGTTTCAAGCCCAAGTAGTCTTCAAACTTTTCCTGTTTTGGATGATAAATCAATCAATAAACTTCGGTCCCACCCTTTCTCTCAAAAGAGCCCAGGGCAGCATACAACAAGGCAGTGAAACCCTACAATTAAAAACAAAACAGATTGATTAACAGTTTGAAAAATTAAGAACATCTAAAAACATTTAATAACAGTCACATTTCCCCACAACTAATACTTTCAAGGTTTCCAGGAACAGTATCTTTTGGCTGGAGTGCATAGTCTTCCTGAATGTTAATAATTGAGGGCGACAGATGCATTTTGCCAGGGAGGGAACCACTACTGAGAAGTTGCTGTCATGGATCAACATGAACCAGGCATATTGTTTTCATAAAAACATGGAGTTGGAAGGGACCACATCGTCATCTAGTCCAACCCCCCTAAATACAGGAATTTTTTTGCCCAATGTGGGGCTTGAACCCACAACCTGGAGTGCCACGCTCTACCACCTGAGCTATTGGGAAGTACAAATTATAGATTCACTTTAAAACGTGAACCAAATGTGGGAGGTAGTGTAAAAACAGTCAGCGGGAGGATTTCAAGGTTGTTGTTTTTTATGTCAACTGCCCAGCTTTGTTTCTTTGTTTTGTCAATTCTATACTGACACAAGGGGACAAGATACCCTCTAGGATCATCATAATGCAAGGGCAGAGTGGGAAAGTAAAATGCTACGAGCTGTGAGGAACAGTACAGTCAAATTAGCTGTCATGCAAACTACACCTGCTGGAAGACTAAGGCCTTAAATAACAATTTTAGGTTATATTTTTGTGATTAAGATTTAACTTATACAGTGGTACCTCGGGTTAAGTATTTAATTCATTCCGGAGGTCCGTTCTTAACCTGAAACTGTTCTTAACCTAAAGCACCACTTTAGCTAATGGGGCCTCCTGCTGTTGCCGCACCGCCGGAGCACGATTTCTGTTCTCATTCTGAGAACAAAGTTCTTAACCCGAGGTACTATTTCTGGGTTAGTGGAGTCTGTAACCTGAAGCATATGTAACCCCAGGTACCACTGTATATATTTTAACTGCTGTTATATCTGTATTGTCCCTGTTATATACCCAATTGCAAATTAAAATGTATCCCTATCGTGTTTTAGGACTTCCCTGATATTGTATGTGAGCTGGAACTGGTCTGTGACTGAAATAATAAATTTGTTTATTTGTTTAATTATCGCTATTCTTCCAAACCATGAAAGCTTAGTTTTCTTATATTGCTCCACCTGCTGGAACAACTTCTTTTACACAACTATTGAAGGGTCAGGAGCCCTGTCCTCTCCCTTCACCCCCACCAGGAGGCAGCTGCACAGGGAGTAACAATGAGGATTAGGGGCAGCAGGGGCAGTGAGTAAAGTGGTACCTCGGGTTAAGTACTTAATTCGTTCCGGAGGTCCATACTTAACCTGAAACTTTTCTTAACCTGAAACACCACTTTAGCTAATGGGGCCTCCCGCTGCCGCCGCGCCGCCAGAGCATGATTTCTCTTCTCATCCTGAAGCAAAGTTCTTAACCTGAAGCACTATTTCTGGGTTAGCGGAGTCTGTAACCTGAAGCGTATGTAACCCGAGGTACCACTGTATTGGGCATGAGCTTGGGCAGATAGCCAATGATGCTGACCCCTAGCACCAACCCCGAAAGATGCAAAAGAAGCTGAAGCCTTGCAAGGGACTAAGTTTGGATTGAGGTGCTAATCACTTGCAACATTGACTCTTACTTATCAACCAAAGGTGTGTGTGTGTGTGTGTGTGTGTGTGTGTGTGTGTGTGTGATACTGCTGCTTCCATTACTAATATCATCGCCTAGATCTGATGCAGCCCATGCAACAGGCTGTTGTAGATAAAGGAAACTAAACCTCCACACACCTCCAGCTTGCCTGAAGGTTGGGATCTCCTTCCTCATGTCAAACAAGTGATCAATACTCTAATGGAACTGACTGCTTGGTGCGGGGAGAGGCTCGAGGGGAGAACGAATTAATCCAGTCATCTCATTTCTACAAAAGGGGTATCTTGTCACTGTCACCATAAGGTGTATCAGTGCAGAAAGAGGTGGTAGATCTTGAAATACAGCAGCCCGCTGCCTTTTGAATGAGGATATTTGAATTAAGGCCTGTAGGTATATATTAATTTTTTTTGGGGGGGTGTTAATAAGCAATTTGCCCCTAAGGGGCGGAATGGGGAAAAGTGTCCCAGGTTGATGGAAATAAGCCTTTTGAAATTAAGTGTGAAATTTGGACCAGATGGATTTTTCTGGTGTGGTGCCACAAGCGGGTGTGCCACTACTGTAATTGTCCTCTAAAGCATCGCCAAAGCAGCAAGTACAGTGGTACCTCTGGTTGCGAACGGGATCTGTTCTGGAGGCCTGTTCGCAACATGAAAAGAACGCAACACGCAGCGGCACATCTGCGCACAAGTAGGTTGTGATTCGCCACTTCTGCGCATGCGCCCGACCCGGAACTTCCGGGTCGCCACGGGACGTAACCTGAAAGAATCATGATTGTGACAATAAAATATCAGAGGATTTATTTCCCCCTTTCCTTCCGCATCTTTCAATATATTGTTCATAGTAATAAAATTAGGATTTAGGAGGTTCACGCCCCCCCAAATATAAGCAAGCTGAGTGTCTTTACGTGAATGGCGCTCTCTCTCTCTCTCTCTCTCTCTTTCTCTCCCCCCCCCCCCAGAAAAGCACCTTGAGGCATGTGTAAAACTAGTAGCTACATAAAGCAGAAGAATCAGATGTCTGCTGGGCAAATTGACAGAACTCATTAATCTTAGATGGAGAGTTCTATAGAGTCTGTCCTTTCATGCACCTGCCTGTGCCTTAAGTAATTACATGATGGCACTATTAATACTGAGAAGCTTGGGTAGGGATAGGGTTATCTCCCCTTCTTAGGAATTGATTGCTAGCTGATTAGTGGACAACATTTCTCTTGCCGTATAATTGCCTTTGTGCTATTGTAGTCTTTCTAACCGGGGGGTTAGGGCATCTTGCTGGTTCCGAGGCCTTGACAATAGCACCACGGCCCTCAAAGTAATGAACTGGAACTCAATCACTGCAGATTCCCCAAGCAGTAGATGCCTCGTTTAAATGTATCGCAAAATAGAAGCTCCCTCGCACAACAACCAAATTAATAGAGGCTTTGTTGGCTATTTCCCCTTACTCTTTGTTTGTGATGTAAAACGCCACATTTCTAAAATGGCAAAATGGGCACAAAATATAATATAATTAATCTGCTTCCAGATATTAAGCTGTCAGGTAACATGACAAAGATGTGGAGGAAAGTTTGGTGGCTGTCACAAGGCTCCTCCCCACTATAACTTTAAAGCACAGTGGAAGCACATTTCCTCAAAGAATTGTGGGCATTGTAGTTTGTTAAGGGTTGCTGGGAATTCTAACTTTGTGAAGGGTAAACTTCAGTGCCCAGAATTCTTTGAGGGAAAGACTGTGCTTTAGATGTGCTTTAAAGGTACTGGGTAAACACAGTCTTAGGGAAGGCATGGGATGGTCCTTTCTTGTTTTTCTCTTAAATCTCTGTGCTTGATTATGACAGAGTTGAACAGGCATGACATATCTAATTCTTATGTGACATGACCTTCCCTATAGACCCTCTCAGGCATTAAGATTAGCAGGGTGGCAGTCCAGAAGAGGAGTAGAGGCCTGACTACCTTGCATATGTTTTATGCAATTCATAACAAAATATATATTTCATGTTAAATGCTCTCACATTTCTGAATAACGGTTTGTGAACTTGTGCCGCGAACCGAGCATTTCTGAGAATTTCCAGCTCTTATGTGAACATTCACTTCTGTACTCGGACAGTATGACAGTGCAGTCTCATCCTATTATACATAGTCGCCCTTGTATGTTTTCATATGAACACTATGTGAATATAACAAAATATAACAAAATGTGTGATACACGTTATGTTGTGTTGCACATACAAGTGTAAAGTGTAGGGTTAGTCCAACAACGATTGTGTGGGTGATTATATTATTGATATTAGTCATGAGGATCTGAATATTTTTCACAGGAATGGATATTATCTTATTATTAACATAAAAAAAAATTATTTTACACGCCGCATAGAGATTTTTAGCTGATCTGTCTTTGCTCAGTGGCCCTGGCAGAGGGTTCCCTATTGATAGTTCTGCCACCCTTGGAAACATGGGGGTTGGTGGTCTGGCAGGAGAGAGCATTCTCTGGTAGCTCCCAAAATGTACATGTACAACTCTCTACCCATAGAGGTGAGTCAAGCATCCTCATATAGTTTTTTGTCATTTGTTGAAGACACATCTCTTAACCATGGCCTTGACCACCTCTTAAGATTTTGGGTGGTTCGGGTGCACCACCTCTGTTGTTTGATGTAAATCCTTTGGTTTGTTTTATTGGGTTTCAACATTATACAGTGGTATCTCAGGTTATGAACAGTCCTGCTTACGAACACTTCGGGTTACGAACTCCACAAACCCGGAAGTAGGTGTCCCTAGTTGCGAAGTTTGCCCCAGGATATGAACGCAATCTGCTTCCAGGGCTGCTAGAGGCCTATATAAGGAATGCACACCTCAGGTTAAGAACGCTTCAAGTTAAGAACGGACTTCCAGAACGGATTAAGTTCGTAACCCGAGGTACCACTGTATAACCATATGATTATATAAAACCCAACCAGGGACCTTATGGTGAAGACCAGCTAATAAATTTCTTAAAGAAGGAAAGAAATAGAATAGAATAGAATAGAGAACATTATATTTGATTGACAAGGTATTTGCCACCTAAACCCCTAGATATTGATGGACTACCTCATTATATAATACTTTGAGACTGGCACTAAGTCCCACTGAACTCAAGGAGACTTACTTCTGAGTAGGTATGCACATGATTTCATTGTTAGGCAATGATCAGGATGCTCAGATGCCAAGGAAGGCAGAATTGGCCCTAGACATTTTAAAAATGCAGTTTCCCCTGCACTCCTGCCTTCCAGTTGGTGACTCTACAAAATCCTACAGTGGTCTGACTTTAATTTTAGATTTATGGATGCAGTCGGTGCTCAAAGGTTCTGATTGCATTTTAAAATGCATAATAAATAATTGACAGGGTGGAGGGGGGTGATATTAAAAGACAAGAGTCAAACCAAGCCATAACAAATTGAAAGCACAGGGATCTATTATGAATGGGCCTGCCAATTCCTTTCTTGAAAGAAGCCTTTAAAGATTTCATCACTGAGAGAAGCTCAGCAGGTGTTGTGGTTTGTTTTGTGACACCCTTGTAGCTTGGTTGCACTATACCAGGGGTTTTCAGACTTTCTACGCCCAGAGCCTACTTAAGGGAGCTGAAAATTGTCGAGACCAACCAGTCACAAAATGGCAGCAGGGCAAATGCTGATGTCATTTTCTAGTGATACCCAGTCCATTTTCCGAAATGGCTAAATTCTTTGCCACAGTGTTTTCCTCATGACAAAGAATTCCATA